GTTCATATCTCGCGTTTGTGACCACGATTTTCAGATATAACGGTCGTCAACTGCCTCTCAATCAATATTATGCAAGGTACGATGACTTTATTAAACCATGACGCATTGGGGAGCATGTTTACTAAGCAGAAAATTGCACCGTCTGGAGTAGACTTTTCCACTTAAAAAGTTTACCAATGGCTACAAGTGAGCTTGTTCCATCACATATGATGTTTACTTCAATGTCTTTAAATACGAAACAGTTCCTTTAACCGTGGAAGAGGCGCACGAGAGTGGCTAAGCCTCGTTATGCCTCATTGCGGCGCTAATGCTAATGGTCATCTAATGGTCTTGCCCGCTAATGGTCATCGAAGCGACAAACCAGAATCATATCAGGCAGACGTAAACCAAACATATTATTACATACCATTGTCCCTGATCGGCAGATGAATAATCAGTTACAAATGGGTACATCAGCTTCCTAGAGTGGTTTAATATCTTAAGAATGGTACCATGTTGTTATGCGTGCTTTCAGAAATATGCCCCTATTTTATCCTAATCCAGAAAAAGCCGACATTCCGACCAAAAATAAAGTCCACAAACTTCCAAATGTTAGAACATTAACAATGATATCATCTTTGCTAACATCTGCGCCTTATTGCCGATTCGGAGACCTGAGTATTTCACTATGGAAGATCGGCACAGGACAAGTGGGAGCAGTCTTTAAGTGGGTTATATTGCCGACGGCCACTTGACAGCAGGGAGGAATCTATGTGAAGCATCCTGCAATCACAGACTCAGCAAACGCTATGGGTTCAGTCGTTAAGACGGTACTGCGTGAAGTCCAAAATTTTTGGGATCGTGTGTTTAGAACCTGGCTGAACCACAAATTATTCTCTGTGTCCTCTATAGGTTATTTGCACTGCTGGCTAACAGCCAATGCCTGCTTTCAGAGCGATGCGACACTCAGCCTTTTGACGGCTTCTTGCAACACTCCGGACATGCTAACACGGGTGTTAACATGGGTGTTAAGCCAGGTCATGCTAACATGGTTGCCAACATCACTGGCCTGGCAAGCACGTCATTGAGCTGGGCACGCCGTTAGCTCGAGCAACACTCAATATGATACAATCTGCACGGCAAGATCTTGTGACAATTTCTTCCTGGTGAAAGTAGGTTCCAGCGCCCAAGTGCAAATCTGAGATATTTTTAACATTACGCTGGAATTTATTAACATGGCTTTGTTAAGTCGGGCATATTTAACCTGTTGCCAATCCATATGATGGCTTGGATTCGAGAACACGTTGATCACGCAATGTCGCAAATGATTGAAATTTAACGTGACGGCGTATTGGCCATTTCGGCCTTGAAGGGGTTGGTTTGGAAGCAAAAAACATTCTAGCAATGCTATCGGGCTTTCGGGAATAAGATAAAGACACAATCTGGACACATTTATAACAACCTAGCGTGTGCGTGAGGCCAGAGATGACTATTCATGCCCATGCGACAAAAAGGAGACGGGACTTTGGAGTGTCAGAACCAAAGTGACCACAAAGAATAGCTGATCCTACTCAAGATGGACGGGCCGCCAGTCAGACGAGCTCTCAGTTTGCACGAACGGTGTCCATAACAGTTGGTGGGCGGGTCGTCACGGGTTTCTCGTAAGCACGTTCACGAAAGATGTTGTTTTCAACGAAGACGGCGTAAGAACCCATCCAGGAAATCCCCGAAGGGTTAGCATTGGGAAAGGCAGGATCTCCTTACGGGCAAGGACGGGACCTGCGCGATACTAAGGATGAAGAGCCACTCCAGGCCACAGGGCAACAACGTATCAGCTGTGGCTGTTGTCATGCTCTTTGCTGGCTGAAGCTGGCATGAACAATCCGGGTGGCTCTCACAACATAGAAACGGTGCCCACAAGACGTTGTGGAAGGTGTCACGTGTTTCTCGTGAAGACATTTGTGTGGAATTTTTTTATTTAAAAAAAATTAATGAAAATTTTTGGAAATTGTTGCAAAAAGTTACAGAATGTTGCAAAAGCAGTTAACGGCTAAACAAGGCACCATAAAACTTCAAGGCTACCTCCACTCGTCTCGCAAGCCCGAGAGCCCTCGAAGGCCAATGAAGGAAAAGTGAAAGCATTGCAAAAAACATTGTTACCCTGCACGCACTCCGTTGCAACGCTGCACACAGCTTACGAGAGAGCTGGCATCACAAAAAGAAATAAACGCTTTTCACACCAATGTCATCAGACAAAGATCTAATATGGTTCACGTCTGAAGTGCACGAAGACCGGGATAAACAGAAGCGAGACCCTTCGGTCCCCGTCAGCCCTACCAAAATAGCCTGTAAATGTCACTCCAGAATCGTGCAAAAGCTGCACACGATGTTACAAACCGCAAAAAACCTGTTGCAACACTACATGGATGGATTTTAATCCATTATCAGTCGGTGGGCCAGACCATGCCATGCACGGCTCCTGATCCGGTCAGTGCAGTGTTTGATGACCAGGCGGCAGTGAAGTCACGTGTCGCAGGTCTGGGTCTGCCAGGAGCAGCCATGGGAACCCTGTAGTGACAGTCTGTTCGGCTGAACGGTGGTGTTTGGCAGAGGCGGCTGTTCAAGTCAAGCAGCAGCGTGCGCGATGGAGCGTCTCATGGTATATTCCATGCATTATGACGTTTAACTCGAATTGCGGAAATGCTCGTTTAGCTTCACTATTTACTTTTTGCAAATGCGGCCATGCACTCATTTTTTGACGAGGGTACTTCCTGCTATACATGGGTAACCAGACACTTAAGAGGCCCAATAATCATACATCTCCAAAATAGAAAATGACATCTGCTTTAATCCTTTTAGACTGAGCGCAAAACGGCATTGTCCGGAATGCCGGTGAGCAACATCCAAGGCTCAAGAGGCTCTCTGACTGACATTTGAGGGCCCATCCCTGCGGGCCGGGGTCCTCAATAAAATCTACAGCCAGCGCATCACGTCCTCCAACCGGGGACGTGATCGTCGGTCCCGAGGGCCCCTTTGGACCACCTCCAACACTGCGCTGGCGGCTCGGCGCTCCGCCCCGTTGCGGGCTCTTGCCTAGCACTGCGGTCCCCTGAACGACCCAAGGAGGCTCTCATTGACTCAGGAGCCCGACCAAGGTAAATTGGAGACCTCGGCTTCGTCCTGGCTAGGAACTGTGCCCTCAGTCCCAGACCTGACACTTGAGTAATTTGGTGGCGAATCTGTTATGTCCCGGTATTTAAGCCTACACCGTAAGGGCGTAGTTTCGCAAAATTTAGCCCACACCCCAAGGACGTAGTTTCACAACATAGGATTGAGGCTGAAAAGAAGGAAAAATTAACTCTTAACACACTTACAGAACGGTTTCTCACTGAATTTGACCCACTTTCCTCTCAACGTTATGAAGTTGAAGTGCTCCCCTCCCCAAATGAAAAACAAAATGCAGCCCCGTACTAATACGTATCCTGGCCCTGTCCCGGTGGAAAATGTTGTTGTTGGGCATTGTTGTCATTTTGTTTGGCGTCGATCTTCGAAGCCAGGTTTCGCAAACCAATGTAGGGAAGGTGCTATGTGGCTTCTAACGTTGTTGACCATGCACGGCTTCGAGAGTAAAAAATGCGCGTTGATGTGCACGACTTTTAAAGGCTGTCATTCAACCGCCCGGCATGAAGCCGCAGAGCGATGCAGATGCAGATGCAGCCGGTTACGATGCAGCATTCGCGTTAATTATGTTAGACACCGCTAATGATGTTTTGGTGGCTGTTGTCGGATAATTACCGGGATCGGTCTCATCAGCTGGTGTCGATCGTCAGGTTTTCGTAGCTGTTCCATGAAATATTCACTGTAAAGTGAAGGTCGGCACATTGCAAGGCTCTTTCCAACGTAGACGACTAATAATTTGGTCACGTTTTTGGGCGCTAACATTTGATCGGTTTGTTTTCAAGTTCCGGTAAGACCCCGTGGTAAAATAATGCACTTTGCCGAAGTCTGTAGGCCCTGAAACATCGCTGAATAATGCCAAAACACTCAGACAATAGCACTACGCTAGGCCAGAGTCAACAAGACGTACTAATCGTAAATAAAAACATGCAGCATGGTGGAAGAACAGGAAATATTCAAGTAAACAGGGCACCAGGATGGAGCTTTAAAAGTGTGACAAGCTCAGTCAGCCACACTCAACCGAACATGACATCGCAGTTTTCCTTTTTCTTTGGTCCTGCTATCTTTGAAACCATTAGAAGAGACCCGATTTAAAATCAATTTGTACTTAGTCTGTAGAACGTTGGGGAGGGAAAAATCACTCACCGTTGGCGAATGACAAACTGGACATCGGGAGGGGAAGCGGCCTCACCCAAACGACATCAATCAACGCCCGTGGAGAAGACCGCCGGTGGCCAAGGAGCGAGGAGGCCCCTCAAGCTTTGCTCTGGGTGCTGCGTCACTGTTTGTGGGTGCCCGTGACCCCTTGTGGGTGACACTGCACTCTCGAGGAGCAAAGAAACTTCCACATTGGTGGCTTCCAAAGGTGGAAACCACCCATGTTTCAGGAAAATGCCTCCCAGCTGGTATGGGCTACCCCAGCTTCCGGCCCACGTCATCGGGTCGATGTGAGTTAGTCGATCACGACAACTTGCAAAGCCGGTGCAGACTTTTTCCCTGCGGGAATCCCGGCGAGAGCTGCAAGCGTAGGAAAACCGTATGACAGGCGCCGCCACCGGCCGGCGCCCGGTCAGCGCCCCGGCCCGCCGGCTCGCCGGCGGCGTCAGGCCCGGCCCGATCCCCCACCTGTGGCACGGCCGCTGCGCTGCAATCTGCAGGCTGCAGTCGGCCCCGCAGCCTGCCCGCCAACAGGCCCGGCCGGTCGATGCAGATGACAAACAGGGCCCCGGCGGGCGGCCAGCCGGCCGGCCAGCGCCGGACCTAGCAGTGGGAAGGAAGTCCCGCCCCCGGCCGTGACGTCAGCGGCGCGCGCCAGCGGCCGGCCGGTGACTCCGACGCGGCAGCGGCCGGCCTCGCTAGCACCGGCAAGTCGGGCGTCAGTTCTGTTCTCTCCTTGCTCCCGGTGTGTTCTGTTTTTAGTTCTCACCATGTCGGTCCTCGGTTTGCTCCTGATGCTTGTCGGATTACAAGCCTCAGGTGAGTACAGCTGGCGGCTGCTGGCCGTCGGGCCTTGGCATTCCCATGAGGCTCTCCGGACGGTGACGAGGCCCTCGTTTGCACCCCCTGACGTCTTACCATCACCAGCAACCTGCATTGATCGCAGCCCTGCCCGCCCCCCCCCCCCTTAATAAGTGACTTTAATACGTCGGCAGTCACTCTTTCTAGCTGTCCCAGTGTAAGTTTTTTTTACTTTCAATATTCGTTGTTGGCATTTCCGAACGCCGAGATAACAAGAACCCAGCACTTTCACCGACAATATTGAGATGCTTGATGAGAGTGCTTGATTGCGGACGCTGGTCGCCGGCAGTCGACGACGCCAGGCCTAGGATCTCTGCGTCGCTTGTCTGTTATCGGTGGCGCTGTCGCTGCGCAGCGACTGGCCCATTTCAACGCCCAAATGTTTCATCCTCATGTGGGCTTTGTTGAGATGAGCGGGCGGACCCCGCCGAACCGCGGCGTCTCGGCGAAAGTGAGGCAGGCACCGGAGGTTAGGCGGGGTGAGCGCCTTCCAGCGCCCAAGGTCATACGGGGCTGCCAGTTAGCTGCCATTGGAACACACGCTCGGCACGCTAGAGTTCTCTTTTGAGACCTTCCTTTTGAGACCTTCCTTTTTGCCGAAAAATTCTGTAGAAGACTGGCAATGCCAGAGCTATGTTTCACCATCGCATTTATGTATCCAAAACTTACGAAAGCTGGCAAAATACTTTTACCTGTGCATGTCTTAGTCAAACGACACTGAAACTTACCTGCGTAACCATGATTTGCTTCTCGATGTATTGATTTACGTATATATATATATATATATATATATATATATATATATATATATATATATACGTCTGTCGATGCTATTTGTCGTCCACAGCAAGGTTTGGATAGTCAGTGATTCTCTTTACGTAGCAAAAAGGCCCTTCTATGTAGCATTCATATAATGAAGCCATTGCACCGGTCGATCACCATTAACTTGCTGGGAATTAAGCAACCATAGTTAATGTCATCTGACTTGTGCGGTCTTCCCGTGCACGAAACGAACGATTTTTCATTTATATACACTTTTATTATCTGCGTTGACAAACTTTAAGTATGTAAATATTGCGCCACCCGATATAAGCTACCAGATTTCCAGCCACGAACATACATTTCTTTCCAACCTTTTAATGAAACCGATGCCTGAAGTCTAAGCTATCCTATGCTTCCTTGTGGTGTCAGATCAGGCCTGGACCACCGTAAATATTCCAGATATTGATGTGCAAAACTCTTCTCATCCCAAGTGATTTCCCCTCGTGACTGTTCGCAGGCATATGCACCCATTTTGTGTAAAACGTGCAGTTTTCGCACATCACCACTACTGAGGACTTAGTCTTTTTTTTATTCGCCCCACTACGCGAGCGTTGTCAGTAAGCGCTGAATGTAATAGCTACGCTGTCAAGCAGCCTCGCGTCTGGACCGAACAGTTGCGGATCAGGCGATGGGACGCCTCAATTTCAGGTCAGGTCTAGAAAAAAACAAGGCACAGGCACAGATAAAAACCGCCCGACATATGAGCCCATCTGACGCTTTGGGTCTCACTTCTGCGCCATCCTGTGTCCCAGGTCTCACCTCTGCGCCATCCTGTATCCAAGATCTCACTTCTGCGCCATCCTGCCCGACATAAGAGCCCATCTGGTAGTTTGGGTTTCGTTTCTGCCGCCATCCTACGTCAGAGGTGACTTAGCCGGAACGGCATGCCGGCTCTCGGCCGCGCAACTTCCGCGATGACTCGCAGAGCGTGTTCAAGGAAGCAGGGCGGCTGTCTGTGCTCTGCCGAAGGTTGCGACCAACGGAGCTTGGTCGGGGTCAGATAGCCTGCGCTCACGTCCGGTGATCGGGCCGCGTGTCCCGGCGCCGTGACCTCGAGCGCGCAGGCCCGAGGGCGGACGGCGCCGTGCCGGTCGTGGTGGCGGGGATCGGACTGGCGAGGGGCGGCGCCGGGGGCCGGCCGGTGGCGGTCGCGCAGTCGCGATCGCTCTCGTCCGAGGGGCGAGAGCGAAGGCGGCGTGGAGCCAGCTGCCGAGCCGTGCTGGCGGCACGGTTTGCACGGCTGACGGGGTGGGTACCGGGCGGCACCAGCTGGGGTGTCTGGTGGCACCAGCACCAGCCGCGGCCATGCGATACCAAAACCTTGAAGGCGGTGCGGGACAGAATCCCGGCCCTCGTAGGCGCAACTACGGTGATGACTCATATGGCCGAGATGGCATCCGGTCGCTGGTGTGAGTGCAAGTGCATGCCGCGCTGGGCCGCACGTGGTGCTTGTATCCTGAGAGCTTGGACTGACCGGACTTGGTCTGGGTCAGATGGGCGGCGACCGTGGCCGGCCGTCGCCGCGCATTTGTTTGTTGGAGCCCTGGCGTGAAGGGCCGAACGTGTGGGTCGGGGCCCGCCCGCCTCCCGGCCGGAGCTCGTCGGCCCGGCCGCCGGCTGCCGCTGCCGTGCGTGTCTCGTGACCCAGACGGAGCGGCACGTGCAGCGCCGCCACCTGCCGCGCGGCGCAGGGCGCCTCCGGCGGCCCGGGCGCGGCCGACCCCACCGGATGCGCGCGCGGCCCGGCCGACGTGGTCCGGCCCCGTTCCGGCGTGGTGCGCCCGGACGGCGAGCGGGTGAAAGTGCGGCCCGGCGGCCAGACCGGCGGCTCTGCCGCCCAGGGCCGCGCCGCCAAGGCCCGCTGATGAGGCCTGCTGATGAGGCGCGGGCCCAAGGCTCTGCCGCTACCGCCTGTCACCACCGTCACGCCTGGACGCGTCGGCAGCCCGTCTACCGACGCCGGCGTGCAGGGCGGGTTATGCAACGGCTGAGTCGACCCACTTCAGAGACGCTGGTTTGACTGGGTAGCCTGGCTACCGACGCCGGAGCGTACAGGGCAGCTTATGCAACGGCTGAGTCTACTCACTTCAGAGACGCTGGTCTGACTGGGTAGCCTGGCTACCGACGCCGGAGCGTACAGGGCAGCTTATGCACCGGCTGAGTCGACTCACTTCAGAGACGCTGGTCTGACTGGGTAGCCTGGCTACCGACGCCGGAGCGTACAGGGCAGCTTATGCAACGGCTGAGTCGACTCGCTTCAGCGACGCTGGTCTGACTGGGTAGCCTGGCTACCGACGCCGGAGAGTACAGGGCAGCTTATGCAGCGGTTGAGTCGACCCGCTTCAGAGACGCTGGTCTGACTGGGCAGCCTGGCTACCGACGCCGGAGAGTACAGGGCAGCTTATGCAGCGGTTGAGTCGACCCGCTTCAGAGACGCTGGTCTGACTGGGCAGCCTGGCTACCCACGCCGGAGAGTACAGGACAGCTTATGCAGCGGTTGAGTCGACCCGCTTCAGAGACGCTGGTCACCTCCTTTTGGCGTCTTCTTATGGAAATGGAAGCCAGTGAGGCACCTTGTTTCCGTCCTGTCCTTCCGTCCTTCATGAGAGCTTACACGGGAAAAATGCTCATTGATGCAACGGTTGTACGAAAAAAAGCGGCACCGGTCAAATCACTACTAATGCTCGAAGTTTGGCAGGCTGCGGACAATTCGTGTTTTAATTAGTTGAGAAAGTATGAGACTGAGAGTATGAGAAGGTGCTGACACAAGCTCACAATGTTGGTACATTGTGGTAAAAGTTTTATGTGATCACTCGTATGTTTTATGAGCAGTTATGTAGCAATATTACAGATACTTTGCATTCGAGACCGATTTCTTACAGAACGACATATTCTGCTCATTCTCTCAGTTCGTGCCATAGCTGTTAACAGGACGGTGTATAAAACTGCCCAGACAGCTTAGAAAACATTATCCTTCGTGGTGTAATTTCGAGTTCTGTCCTAGTTGCTGATGTGACACCAGCAAAAACACCCAAAGCATGCCATGTCGCGGCTTACACATGAGTACACATCACTTGCTCCATCTAGAAATGCCCGTTCGTGATAATACGACTTCGTATCCTATCCCCTGCCAGTCGTGTTGATTCATCATCTTTGCAACACCGGTTACAAGACGTGAGCCCTGCCTCGATCCGTGATGTCCTTTCGCAACTTGGAAGACCGAAGTTCATCGCTTCCTTTTCGTTCATCGTTTCCTCCCTGACTTGCTGATGACTTGCACTTACCACGGAGCTGGTAGGGACGTCGCTATCGGTAACGCTGGAGTAGAGTGACGTCATTATCGCGAACGCGGGTGTTGGCCAACGGGCTTTCCCGCAGCGATAGACGTTGACGTCATCATCCCTGCCAGAAAAGAATGAGACCTCATGCAGGAAGCATTTCAATTGACTCAACTTGCAGTTACTGCGGCTGTAAGTTTCCTGCAGAGAAGTTGAATGACTGAAATTCTGAGGACGGTCAAAGAACTAATCGCTACATTCTCAACAAGGGATTAAGCTTTGCAACTGTAGACACTAACGTGCTTTGTGTATATGAACAAGTTGAGTGAATTTATGAACGTTTTAATTCATTTGCCCGCAGGCACTATAGTGTTGATGGGTTAAATCAAAAAACAAAACAGAGTGTCGCCAGGCATGAACTAAATCTAGATCTATGACCTGATACCGCCTGGTTGAACGTTTTCTGCAAGGGCTGTTCACGGCACAACCACTGCGCATTACTGACGTCGCAGTCACCACAGAGCTGATATAGGTCCCTGAACCCCACTCCCCACAGAGCTGATATAGGTCCCTGGACCCCACTCCCCACGGAGCTGATATAGGTCCCTGGACCCCACTCCCCACAGAGCTGATATAGGTCCCTGGACCCCACTCCCCACAGAGCTGATATAGGTCCCTGGACCCCACTCCCCACAGAGCTGATATAGGTCCCTGGACCCCACTCCCCACAGAGCTGATATAGGTCCCTGGACCCCACTCCCCACAGAGCTGATATAGGTCCCTGGACCCCACTCCCCACAGAGCTGATATAGGTCCCTGGACCCCACTCCCCACAGAGCTGATACAGGTCCCTGGACC